TTTTTCAAACAAAGTGGATAAAGCAACGCAAACAGAAGAGGTGCGTTTCAAAGAGACCACTCAGATATTGATTTCTCAAACAAAATGGAACAAACTAATACATTATTAATAGATGCAATAAATATTTTGGCAAGCATTCGCACATAAATTTGTGCAACTTTCTGGGCATTTTTTTTTCTAGGAATAGCTAGCCCATAAATTTTTTAACAAGAATTTCTTAGCAAAACTCTTAACTTACAGAATACCCAAATTTTTAGGACGTAATGGACTTCCAGGAATATTTGGATTCCTTCTTCCCTGGGAATTCTTCAAGACATTAATAATGTCGATTACGCTCCATTTCATCTATTTTATCTAAGATTTCACCGTATTGACGTGAGACTATTTAGTCCTGTCTCTTATACACATCTAATCTTTGTCAAACCCGGATTTTCGTAATTCTGGCCAAAATCGTCTTAATTCCGGCTGAAATTAAACTGGCCAAAATTAAGTTGGCCAATTTTTTTGTTTTTACAACAAAATAATATAATAAAAGTCCGGGTCCGGTCCAGCCAGGTTTTTGATATTTTAAGTCTGGGCCAGGCCGGGCTGGGCACTTTATGTTAATTTCCAAGTGCGGGCCGGGTTGTAAAATAGTAGTCAATGCAGACCTCTAATCCAAAGTACCATAAGGCTAAAAAATAAAAAAAGAAAAATTTCATTAATAAAATTCTTTTAAAATAGGTTTCTTAAAGTCAATTCTGAATTCAAATAGCTTACCAAATTCTGGAAATACAGAATCTATAAAGATTAAAAAAAGAAGCGTCAGACATTTCTTACAGATAAATGACGAATTCCTCTCAAAAGAAATAACTCACCATCCAAAAGTCTTCCACAGACAAGTCATTACCTACAAAAAAATAAAAAAAAAGGAAATTTAATATGTTCCTCATAATTAATGGTGAAATTCTTTCCCAAAAATTTTACTTACTGTCCAAAAAGTCCCGTCAGAGAACATTACCTACCGAAAATTTGTAAAGTATAATTTTTACTTTTGTTTTCTTCAAGTCCAGCTATCATAGGCTTGTAAAACATTTTATGAAAAATAAAAAGAAAAAAAAAGAAAATTATAGTAAATAACGATAAAACAAAAAAAAAATTCAAAAAATGATAAAAATAAAAAAGAAATCACCTAAGAGAGCACTATTTGCAAAAATGTTCAGTTCGTTCTCAGTTGAACCTCAACTTTGAGCCATTGGAGGCATTTGTTCATTTCCTTTAATTTTTGTCAGTTGTTCATACCAATAGCTCATTGATGTTATTGTTGTGAAAAAACAAATTAATGAAGGAGAAAGAAGGAAAGGAATTATGGGAAAGAACAAACTTTTTTTTTAAAGAAAGATTATCCGTCATTGAACTGCGCCTATCAGTTATTATATCATGTGATACACATGACATTAATTTTTATGTAGATAGTAAAATAGGAACTGATTCCATTTTAAGGATTGATATAACACATTAAACTATTTTAACTATTTTAACTATTTTTAATCACAAATAAACTATTTTTTTAATTTTCTTTACATTTTCTTTTATACTCTTCAAAATAATAAACTGCAATTATGGTTTTTGATGCTTGGTACATGTTCAACTTAACCATCACAAAATGACACAAATAGCAAATATAATAATATAACATTAATTATATTTCTCACAAACATTCTAGATTTTTTAATATAAATTGACTTGAGATTATTAGAGGTCATAAGCTTTCTCACCAGCTGGCAAAGTGTATGAAATTTCTTTTAATTTCACAAAGAAAGCCTTGCTAAAGTCATCTTTAGCAAAGGTCTAGTAATACATTGCCTTAATTGAGCGTGGCTACGAAGTTTATGATTATCTCTTTGCTTTTTTTTGTAATTTTGTAATGATATAAATTTTGTTTTAGTATAGCAAAATTTCAATAATAGTAAGTAAATGGCTTGTTGCAAATTTAATATCATATTTCAAGTAAATTTCAAGCTATTATATGCGTAATAAACATTGATATTAAATTTAATTAAAATTTATTTAGAATTTATACATTATAATTAGCGAATTAGTTTTAAAATCATAAAATTTACAATAAATTTTACCCGTTTCAATCTATAAATTAAATTTGATGGAGATTTCTTAAGCGTAATTGAGATCAACAAATGTATAAGCTATTTATGGGCAATAAACTTCATGCAAATCATCCCACTTCGACCAGTGAATAATGCAACGGTTTTCTTCTGACCAGAATATTGTTTTGCCAAATTATATGAGCGTATTTTCACATATCAGATCCGCATGCATTTCTTTATTGTGCTCATTATACTAACTCTCAGATTTACCTTCCTTATAAAGCCGATCGGCATGTTGTACTTCATTAAAACACTTGAACATTACATAGATTAAGTGTAGTAACTTCGTTAGTTACTAAATGGCAGACATCGAAGAGATTAATTATTGACTTATATGAAGAAATCCGGCCTTCTTTTCATGAAAAGTATTCAGGTCTCCTTAAATAGCTGCCCATCAACAATAATAAATGAGGCATGGAAGTGTTTAAGTATATAGACACTCTTAAGACATGAAATTGAAAGATATGATCAAAAAAAGAAACGGCAAAGTTTATATATATACAGCATGGATACTGGGACACAAACCAGATTTTTCAAACAAAGTGGATAAAGCAACGCAAACAGAAGAGGTGCGTTTCAAAGAGACCACTCAGATATTGATTTCTCAAACAAAATGGAACAAACTAATACATTATTAATAGATGCAATAAATATTTTGGCAAGCATTCGCACATAAATTTGTGCAACTTTCTGGGCATTTTTTTTTCTAGGAATAGCTAGCCCATAAATTTTTTAACAAGAATTTCTTAGCAAAACTCTTAACTTACAGAATACCCAAATTTTTAGGACGTAATGGACTTCCAGGAATATTTGGATTCCTTCTTCCCTGGGAATTCTTCAAGACATTAATAATGTCGATTACGCTCCATTTCATCTATTTTATCTAAGATTTCACCGTATTGACGTGAGACTGTTTAGTCCATTCAATCCTTGACGAATAATAACTAATATTTCACTTTTATTTGGCTACCTTGTATAATTCGACTCATATGGGCTATATAGACTATCTTTATTCTAATGCCTCCAACTCTCTTCTATAAACTTCACTAATTTGGTCTTCGATGTCCTCAAACGTGGCTAAAGGATCTGCTCTATAGGGTAATTTTCTGGAATAATAGCATGATCAACACTCTAATTTCTACTAACATTTTCGGAGCTAATTCTTCTATCAATTTTATCACAATTTTGGAGTTGTCACGATTTTGATAAAATTTCACGATTCACGTTTTATTGGATGGCTGGATAACCTTGTGATTATGATTTTGCAGAAATTCTGGACAAAATAATTCTGGCTAAAATTATGGCACCTACGGCTTTAGGAATTGGGCCAAAATTACGTTAATTTCAGCTCAATCGTGAAAATTACATGCGATTTTTGGGTCATAACGACAATCCATCCTGGACACCCTACTTCTAACTATTTTAGGATCTTCAGGTTCGGACTCATTATCAGACTCATTATCAGAATTAATTCTGCTATATCTCCTCCTTCATCGGTAGTCTCATAGCTGCTTTTCTCTTCCTCCGAATCTTCTGGTTCTGGTGACTCAAAAGTTTCGGGTAACTCAGGTGGTTCCGTGGTTGTGGAGTCAGGTCTTCCCAGCTTTGTATGAGATTTCCAAATAAACTTCCTAATATGCCAGTTATGCTACCAAGAATTCCGCTCATTTTTTCCCAAAGGATATATAGTTAGAAAACAGTTTAAAATAAAATTATTTATTCAGATAATTAGAGTTAGACATTTATTCAAAAGAACTTACTAGTATGGGATTTATCATTGCTCTTATATTCTACGAAGTGGCGCTGTTTGCAATGAAGGGTGCTATCGGCCTGATGGGTGCAAAGTTCATTGTAATTCTCCTAGACGAGTTCCCTGTATAGATTGCAGTAAGTTGACTTCCTCTGCATATGATGCTTGTAAAAAAACATGCAGGCAAGTACCATTTTTGAGAATTTATCTTTAGCATAAGCTTGCAAAAATTCTGGCTGCACATTCACCAGCACTATGCCCGAAGCTTGAAGGATAGGAATAGGGTAGAGAGCAGGTAGGGAGTAAGGAATTCTGGTACAGTTTTGGATCGGTTCCGGGAATGTTCTGGAGATGTTTCCGGAACCCAATATATATGCATTTATATTACATTATTTTTTTTCATGTTTTGCTTACCAGTTGCTTCTCATCCTTTGGGTGCACCGCAACTCCTACTTTCGTATTTGCCTCATATAATAGCATACAATAGAGAATGGTCGAAAAAATAAATATTAGCTAGCATCTACATCGCCCTAAAGGGCTTATGTTCCTGCTAATATTTATTTTTTCTCTTAGAAGCATCCACAATCGCATTAAGGCTCTGCGGATATAATTTGAATGATTTCATAATTTTCGTTGCCAAAAACTATTTTGTAATACCTGATAGACCATCACTTGACTAAATAATAAGTCTATTTGTGAAGCTCAACATGCAAAAAACCCATTTTTTCACCTGCACAGTAATATTAATATGTATTATTAAGGCTCATATTATTAAACATTTACTTTCAATTTTTAAACTTTAAATCCTATAAAGTGAGATCCATGACGAACATTATCAATATTACTAATGATCATATTTATTGTATTTTGGCTTAAAAGAAGTATTTATCAAATTATTGTATTAGTAAAATCAAATAAAAATTTTTTTAATGTTTTACGTCTAAATCCTACTGCGCCAAATGTACTAATTCGTGTAACAAAAAATACCATTCCAAAGTTTGGTCGCGCAAACGCAATTGATATAGTACGAATTTATTTTGTCATACTATTAATACAACCTGCAAACTCAAATTTTATTTTCTTTATTTGTTATTAATTCAATACATAAAAATCTTTTGAAAATGCACATTTACTTTGTTTATTTAATTAACTTGCTAGTTCTATCGACCACTTTCATATACGCATTTGCTATTGGTAAGTTAAAAGTTTTAGTATACATTATACAGTACATTATAAATACCTATATTGACTCATATTTACCAAATTTCTTTTCAAGCACCAGAAAATGAAAAAGTAGAAATTTATGTGATTTTTTCTTTAGTAATGATTTTTTGTCAAGTATTGTATTACAGTATCTACGGAGTAGGAAAAAAAGTAAGTATAAATCTACATTTTAATGGCATATTATGACTTCTACACAAATAATAATCTCATTTTATTCAACAGAGGGGCTATGAAGTAATACCCTAACTTCAAATAAAATTTTTTTTTTTAATTTACTTATTGTTATACTTGCTTCATATTGATAAATTATTTATAAGATAGAATTTTAATTTTCAAAAATTTAAGAAATTTCTTTTTTCTTAAATTTACGTCATATTATTATCGCTCACCTAATATTGATGATAACGCGAAGCTTTTTTTAACATGTCAAGTTTAAATAATTCTTTTAATAAAATTTATTTCATGCAAAGAATTTGTGGTGCTGAAAGAATATTTCACATCACATAAGTGCATATTCAAGTGTCCTTTCTTAATGAAAAATTATGTCATAATAAGTAATGAGACATGTTATTATCCTCCAATAATTGTCAAGGACTCAAGGTATTCCATAATGGCCGTTTCGCACAATAATGATGCTCAGACAAAAACTAATATGCTCATCAACCTTTTCCTTGTAGATAAGCTACTTTGATTATGGGTGAAAAGTAGTACAATACATTGATATTGTATTTGTAGGCCATCATCTAAAGAAACAAAGTGATCACTGTAAAGAGACATTCAATTACATTTCATATAAACCTAATAATTACTATCTCAAATAAACTATTTATTCTATATCATTACCATGAGGGTATAACATTTAGTAAAAGACCAACTTATGGGATCCGAATATAGTAAGGGTCTCTGTTCCAATCTTCCATTAGTACAAAGACAGATAATTTATCTTTGTTAAGTGGATGATATAACAATTTATATTACATAATAAAATTTGTATGCCAAACTGAATATTATTCGTGAAAATGCATGTTTAATCAATGGTGGTAATTCACATCAATATATGGATGATCTATGAACGTAATAAAAATTATTTAATATAATGATACAATGCAAATATATCATTTTCGATTTGACCAAGCCCTGTTGGGATCGGGTGTGAGATTGATTTTTGAAAGTAATACAAGAAAGAAAGAAAAAGAAAATAAACAAAATTAAAAAGTTTGTAGCAAAAAAAAATTTCAATTCAACCTTTAATCCTTTTAAAAGGATTTTAATAAGTTTATGAGTAATGAAAAGATGTATCTAGAATAAATTCTTTCGCTATTTAATTATTAGAGAACACTTAATTATTTTATAAAGTTTCGTAAGTTAGGTTTTATAGATGATTCACAACTTAATATTAATAACGTAATAAACTTTATTTGTACTATGTCTTTTTAAAGTTCATTTAAAAGACAGAACCCCAGGCTTTCTAACGAATATTTTTAAGCGGTTTTAAAAACATATTGAGAGTTTTAATTGTAACGAATCAAAAAAATGACATATGCAGTATAACGTAATACACTCTACCCTTGAAGAAGAAATTGCTTTTAATGATCCAATGATGAATTTGAAAAATAATAATTTTCTATTTTAAATAATTTTATATAATCAATATAAAGTAATTTATTATTATCAATTGCATTTATAATAAATAATATGATATCCAGAGTAAAAATAGTTTATATATATATAATATAAATATTCGTACTCTAAAATTTTTAATCATAAAAATGAAAATTTATTTTTTTCAGATTCAATTTAGTGAAATAGTAGCAAATCTTTATTCATTTTTATACAAGTATGAAGTATGAAAAGGTCAAATTAATATAATCAAATGATATAAATAAATCATTCCCGCGATTCGTTTAATAAACAACCCATGAAAAAATGGTAGCCCGATTTGTTGCCAGGTTACATATGATCCGTGGATAGTATACTTATTTATTTTGTTTGTTCCTTTATTTTAATTTTACGAAAATGTTGCTTATTTATTTGGTGCTATTTCGTAAAAAATAATTCCATTTTCCTTGTTATAGTATTATTTTTTGCTTATTTCTTTCTATTTTTATTGCATATTTTATTAATGGAAATGCTGATTTTTTTTAGAGGAAAAAAATTGCGAAGTATTAGTTATTAGATTTATTATATTTAAGTACTATTATCGGCTGAAATTAAAACTTACTATATATGTACAATAACCTTAGTGAAACATTTTAAAGTAATCATTATGTAAAATTAATAAAACAAAAAAAAATAAAACCCGAATTTTATTTTTCTTATGTTGCTGATAATCCAAAATATCATTACTTCTGTATTTTCCAAGGACAACTAATTAATTCCCTCTTTGCCAAAAATCTTAAAGGATCAATACAATGTATCGCTGGATCAGTCGATAAGAACTCATCATTAAAATCATTATCCAGCATCTGCTTCAATAGTCTTATATAGATTTATTCAATTTATTTTTTTTATGCGAGTTGGATAGAAATAATAAAAATTAAAAAATCATTTTGTAATAAATTGAACAGATGAAAACAAGTTTTTTACACTTACCATTATGGCAAATTATTTAAAACCTGTTGAATAAAATTAGAATATTATTATTTGTAGAAGTTGCAATATGACATTAAAAAAATAGATTATACTTACTCGTCCCCTTCGAAAATTGAGATTCAAATAGTATGCCATTAAAAAGCAAAATGACGAATAAAGAAACACGTAGTTTGGAACTTGAAAAAGATATTTGATAAAATATGAGTTAAAATCAGTATTTTCTCGTTAGAACCGTGAAAATATATACTGCGCAAAGAAGGAAAAACTGGTAAAATAAGAATTCATGTTTAAGCTTGACAAAAAAATTAAAATACTAAAATGTAAATAATATTATATACTTCTATATATATATCTATTTAGAAGAAACTCTCACGATAAACTGATTATTATTTATTTTAATTGTGATACAAAGATATAATAAAGATGTAATAATTTACATATTTGTATGAGACAATGAGACATTATTATTGTAAACTTACAATCAACAGGAGAAATTTAATAATGCTAAAATCGGTTAATATCTCGTCATGTGATATGATATGCAAATTATAAAGATAGTGTTTGAAGAAGTCCCACATCTTCGGAGGAACGTACCATAAATTTCCAGCTAATTCAAATTTTAAATGATTTAATTTGAACCATTTTGACCAAAAATAAGTTAATTTTATAAACCATACATGGATCTAAAATACCATCAATAATTTTATACATGCCGTATTGCCATAAGGTCCTGAGATCTAAGGAAAAATCTCGAGTTATACGGACTTGAAAAAAGTGCCTGCAAAGAGATTTAGACACTATAATTCCATACATGATAAGTAACATAACGCTGACGTATTCCTTTTCTTTATAACTGCGTTATTTAACCATTACTCTACAATAGTTTACCTGAAAGATATTTTTTTTTCCCTTAGATTAAATATTTGTTTCAAGATAATAAATAAAGTAAAATAAGTATATGAATACTTTTTTTAAGTATTTATTATACTGTATAATATAATTAAAAATTATTGAAAAACATGTAAATTAAGTTTATAATATATGATTATTCCGGAATGCTGGATTAATTCTTCTAATGTACTGTATAAATAAATTTATAATATACTTTTTTTCTTATTCTGCTATTTTAATATTTTTTTTTTAAATTCTAACTTCCTGACTATCAATCTGAAGATAAGTAAGACCCTATAAAAAGAATGTCCGGCAAGACACTTTCTGGATACTGGGGCATCCGGACATTTCCGGACATTCTTTTTTTTATAGATAGAGCGGAAAAAGTACTAAATTATAATTAGCATTCCTTATATATCGGATATTCTTTAATATCTTAAGTGATTGTTCGGCACTCAGGAGAAAATGATAATTAATTTTACGGGCTTCGTTATTAATAAAAAATTTATTTTTTGGAATTTCGTGTTCTTTATTATACAAACTTTTCTAATGAGCGAAAAAAAAAACAGTATGCAGTAACTCTTTTGGCTAAGAGAATTATTTTAAAAATTCACACTATGGGACATATGCATAAAACTGGTGAACCAATGCAAATATAAAAGATAAAAAAAAAATAAAAAAAAAGCTAAACTAAAACTAAATAAAAGTTTAAATACTAAATAAGAAACAAAAATAAAGGTTAAAAGTTTAGAACTAAAAATGTAATATCATCATTTACAATAGTGATAATTTCCTTTTGCAAATTATCCTAAACCGGTATTATAAAAATAATTTATTTATTTATTTTTTTCGATAGAATGCTGATGATCATAGACCTCTCGGATATATTTTTTTTGCACGAAAGCGCATTTCTTTTAATTTATATCGTAATACATATCATCTTGGATATAAAAGTTATCCGATGATGACATTATTTTACTTATTAAAGGTAAATGTAAGAGTTTACAATATATTTATATATATTTTTTTACGATAAAGAAAAAATTCGATTGATTTTTTTGTTCATAATATTTATCATCGGTATCTGGATATTAAAACATTAAAATAACATTAAAAAAAATACACTAAATTAGTTTTTTCCCATTTAAAGATAAACTAATGGTAAGATAAATAATTTATCTGTAGAAAATAAAAAAAGTAAATTATTATGAGATTAAATAAATCATCTTTTAATAATTTGAACATATTAAACATAATATTTTTATATTTCTGGACTTTATTTAATGATGTGATTATGCGAACGACCATTTCGTTTTTTGTGAATGTTTTTGTTAATTTATCATAATAACTACGAATTAAATAAAATTAAGTATAAAAAAAAATAAGTAAAAAATTATAAATACACGAGAAGTAAAAATATTTGTAATTACAATAAAATATGAAGTAAAAAATATATATAAAGAATATAAATACAAAAATAATAACTAAAAAATTACAAAATATAAAGCGAAAGTACAAAAAAAAATAAATAAAAATAATGCGATGCTTAACCAATAAAAATCAGTTAAAATATAAATGTTCATAATAGTTAGATGATATATAGTAATTAGATTGCGCAGCTTAAACATTCAGATTTAGTATATGGAAGACCATTTGTAAAGGGTTGAGATGTACAAATAATTTGAGAATGTGTAGTTAGCTTGATATTTTTAAAAGACAAGGGGTTTGCTTTTCTATATTCTTCTGCTTCTTTAAATTGCTTTTCGATCTCAAATTGTTGATTACTTTCAATTTTAGTAACAAATTTATATTTTAATTCATCAGATACATATGAATTATAAAATAGTAAAATAAAATTTTCTATTTCGATAGCAGTTGGCCTATTCTCTGGGTTCGAGTCCCAACACCTTTTCATTAAGTCAATATAACATTTTGGTGCCTTTGGCTCATTTATTTCAGGTCTAATCCCATAACATATGTCTAACGATGCAAAAAATTCGTCATGAGCATAATCAGCAAAAGGTTGTCTTCCGGTTGCTACAAAATACATAATCATTCCAAAGCTATATATATCTGCTGCTTGAGTAAAAGGTTGCCCTCTTAACACTTCCGGTGCTACATAAGGCATAACCCCATAAATTTTTGTTTCATCAATATCACCAACTTCTCCACATAGTCCCATATCAGAAATGCATATATTGATATATTCTATATGCTTATGCTTAAACAATATATTCTTCGTGTGAAAGTCACGATGGACCATCTGTTTATGATGAATCTCCTTAAGGCCCTTAATAACATTCATTAATATTATAATTCTATTTAACCAATCAAGTGTATTGTAATTTTTACATAAATATTCGTTAAAGTTTCCACCTTCTGCATATTCTAGAACCATGATAAATTCTTCTGTATCCGGGTTCTGAGATATTCCATATATTTTAAGAATGTTACCAAAACCTTGGTTTGTATATGCCAAATGTGTTTTAGCCTATAAGAAGAATATATATTCATATGTCAATATATTAAAAAAATATTATATTCATATGTTAAAATATCTAAATTTTAATAATCATACCTCATTAAGGAATTCATCGATTAATATTTGTGAGTTATAGATACATTTTAGAGCGACTTTTTTATTTGATTCTCTCATCCACCATTTATTTTTGTTAAAACTATAATGTAATGGTCCCTTCTTCCATAATTTATTTTTATTGAAATTATAGTGTAACGGACCATTCTTCCATATTGCTGAATATACCGTGGAAAATCCACCTTTACCTATTTTTTTAATATCATGAAACTGATTATATGGTATCCATTCAAATAATATACCGGAACCACCAGAATCATAATTAACTTTCAGTTGCTGCTCTTGTATAAAATCATTGATTTTTTCATTTTCATGGTGTTGACATGATTTACACCGTTTATTTTCAATTTCAAAGGAATTATGGTATTTTTCACCACAGTTTTCGCAACATTTCTTAAAATAATCTCCATGAAAAATCAAAATATATTCTTTTGTCTCCGGATCTTGGGATATTCCATAACTAATATCTTCTGATTTAATCTGACAAACGATAAAATATTAATAATTATATTTTTTAAAAAAATTATTTTAAAAATTAATTTAATTATACCTTATTTATATATTCATAAGAGTTACTTTTTAAGTTATACAAATACTTTAAAGCGACCTTTTCGTTTGGTTTCCTCTCATACTTCTTTGAATGTCTATTATATTTTAATAAACCATTCTTCCATACTGCTGTGGTAAAACCTTTTCTTACTTCTTCGATACAATTGAATTGAACGTACGGTATCCATTCAAATACAAAATCATCTGGGCTATTGATTTTTAATTGCTCTTTAAGTATGAAATTATAAATTTGTTTATTTTCATCAATCTTGTTAATAAGATTATTCAACAAATTTACTTGACATGGCTTACACCATTTATATATTTCGTCAGTATACTCATTGCCACATTTTTCACAATATTTTTCAAAATATTGTTTATTATGAACAAGAACGTAATCTTTTGTATCCGGATTTTGAGATAATCCAATGCTGATACCTTCTAACTTGACCTATTGAATTATAAAATATTTATTAGAAAATTGATTAAAAAAAAAAAAAAATTTTAATTTTACAAAGTATTTCATACCTCGTTCAACGTTTCATTAGAAATATTTTGTGAATTACGTAAATATTTTAAAACAACTTTTTCATTTAAGCTCCTTTTATTATGCCTTAAAAGACCATCCTTCCAAATTGCTGTGGAAACTCCATTTCCTATTTCTTTAATTTTATTAAATTGATTATATGGTATCCATTCAAATACTATGTCCAATGGATCATCAATTTTTAATTGATTTTTTAGAATGAAATAATCAATTTTTTCATTTCCACTGGCCCAATTGGTAAAATCATTTTTTAAATGAATGATATGACATGGTTTACACCATTTAAATATTTCGTTTGTATATTCTTCACCACATTTTTCACAATAATTAAAATCTCTTTCAAAATAATTTTCGTGAAAAACGAAAATAAAATTTTTTGTATCTGGATTCTGAGATATTCCATAACTAATTCCTTCTGATTTAATCTGTGATGTATAGATACAACAATTAATATATATAAAGAAACCATATTTAAAACTCAAATTTATCAAATAAATTTAAAATTTGTGCGCACCCCCATAGATATATTATATATGAAAGTCAAAAATGACATTCTAAACCCTTCATGACTCATTAAGTAAAGTTGTAAAATAAACAAAATACGCATAGTAAATAAATTTTTAAGGCTCTATATTATGTACGTAAGCGTTGCGACACGAATATTTAAAAAAATCGGGATTTTAATAAAGTCATGGGATAATTAATGATCGACAAATTTACCATATAAAAATGAAGGGTTGCGGTGCACACAAATTTTTATTTTCCAAATTTAAATACCTTATTTAAGAATTTATTTTTTAGTAAATACAATTTCACCTATTAAAAATAAAAAAAAATTTTAAAAGATTATATTCTTAGTATACAATATATATTGATTTCTTTAAAAAAAAAAAAAATATTTAAAAAATATTTCATACCTTTGTCAATAATTTATCAAAAATATTTTGTGGATCACATAAATATTTTAAGATAACTTTTTTATTCGATCTTCTCTTCCATTTTTTCTTATTAAAATTATAATATAATGGCCCATCCTTCCATACTGCTGTAGAAAATCCATGTCCTATTTCTTTAACGAATTTAAGTTGATCAAATGATATCCACTCGAATATTATATTGTCTGATGCGTGTAATTGATTTTCTTGAATGAAAGAATCAATTTGTTTATTTCCACTTGTCCAATATTTCTCTCTTAAATGGTTTATGATTGCCCTTTTACTATAAATTTCATCCATGCAAGTTATTATTTAATAATGGAAATAAAAAATTAAAGTATAATTTTTGAAACCATTTACAAAGTAAATTGTCACGCAGTTATAAGAATTAATTTATTTAAGGAGAAAACGGTAACACATTCCTTTTTAATCCTTATAATAAAAAAGCTTTTTGTATAAAAATTTATAAAAGGAAACTTCAATGATTTTTTAAAAACAATATTAATAATCTGTAACATAAATAAACTTTTTTATGACGTAATACGATAAAGTATAAACTCCGACATTTTTTAAGTGTCGATCACAACTATATTAGGAAGGGTGATATTTACGAGTCACTTATCACGTGCAAGCTCGAGTTCAAAAACACTAATTATCTGATTTTTTTGGTGGTCCAAACCTTATTTGTCACCCGTTATTTGTCACCGGGTACAAATCAACATACAATGAAAAAGACGTAAATAGTCTAATAAGATCTCTTGTCACACCAATCATACCAATGATGTAATGATGCACAAAAAGGGGCAACATATCACGCGATTTTGTTTAGTATTATTAATAAAATTTTTTTTTTTTACATTTTTTAGGAAAAGAAGGAAAAGAAAAGAGAAAAAAAAAATTATATTATTTTTTTTTTGTCGTTTTCACCAATGCAGCAAGTATATTATGTATTGGCAAATTGCATATTAATTTATGCAATGTAAAAATATTAATGGATCATGATAAACGTGATTAGAATGACAAATTGTTCTTTGGATAATATATAGAACGAGAATACAGACATAGTTTTATTATAGATGAAATATTTGTTATTTTACGTCAAACTCGCGAATAATTATTTTTTACATTCCTTAAATGTATCATAATGACGATTTTAACTAGAAATATTACTCAAAGAAATCGATATGTTACATTATCAAAATTTGAATTTGATCGTTGTTATAGATTTGCTCGTGCTCAATTATCTAAAGAGATATCATTCAAAATCACCGAATCTTACGCTCGAACATTATATTCTCCTTCTTTGGAAGATATTGAATATGTTAATAATTTAAAAGCATTACAAGATATTTTTTATACCAAATTAAAAAATAAATATTATTATTTAAATAACCATGAACAGACATTTTTATGTATTAATGATGAGTAAGATGGAGAAAGTGATGAATCTATTTCTAGTGAAACCACGAGTAGTGGTTATGATACATCAACTTCTACTTCTACCTTCTCAAATTTCTCAAATGATGATTATTCAATTGCAGATCATGATATTGATTGGATTAGGAGTTCTTTGGACGAATACGAAGATGATGATCATGGAGAATTTTGGGATCATCATCGTAAATTATTTTTTTTTAATATAGTTGCTCCATTTATATTTATAATTTTTATGATTTTGTTAAAGAAATTTTTTGATTTCAATGATTGATTAAACTGCGGTTACGATTTTGTTAAATTTTATCACTTAAGACCTATTTCATCTTATTTTATAAAACTATTGGTATTGTTACGCAGTAAAATGTCACGTAGTAATCACGTGATATAACTGGACCCGTGATGCCGATCAATGTAGGAGATATTGACATGTTCGATATGTTATGTATGTCCGATATATAGAATATATGGTATATATAGAACATATAGTATATATAGAATAAATAGTATATATAGCATAAATAGTATATATAACATATATAGCATATATAGCATATGTAGCATAAATTAGATATTTTTTTATATAGTAGAAATTGTTATAAAAAGGCAGTGTAAATGCGCATTAGAAAAAGTAGTTTTAGAACAGTCCTTATAAAAATCATTAATAAAATTAATTAATAAAACTCATATACACTTTATTTTTCGTGTTATTTCTTATACTAATTTAATTAACTCAATGTAAATCTAACATAAATCCGATCAAATGCGAATATGGTATAGCTCTCCAAAATAGCCTATACGATCAGACGCAAGTAAGGGATTAAACTAACCAAATATAAACAATGAATAACGAAATTAAAGTGTATAAGATTTACGCCGATCCTGTTAATTTCCGACCCTACCAATCCTTCTGCTTACACTACATATAGTCATATACCGCTTATTTTTAAGCACATAAAAACTGACATATAACATTATTTAGTTAAAAAAAAAAAATAGTGTTAAACTATATACAAAATAATTATCTAGATTAACCTAATTTTTTAAACGTTTGTTATTATCATTTTCAACTTCTTCATTTAGATCTTTTTGAAAATCTTAATATGAACTCATCGTTTAATTTATAAAATACTTCTAATAAAATATTTTCTCTGCTTATATATACAATTTTCTCCTTCTCTTCTTCTTTGCATCGTTCCAAAATCTAACATTTAATTATCATTCACTTTCATTATTTTACCGGATGTGGTCTTGTACATATTATCTAGCTTATCTCTAAGAAATGGTCCTGTCTTTTTTTTTTGAGTATTTCCTTGAGTTCCTTGATCGCTTGCTGCCATCGGTTTACTTTTCTTATAACTTCATAATACCGGAAACCATCATAAATAATGACACATACTACTTAAACATTCATGTTAGCAACTTAAATTACTTTTTTATGAAGACAGAAACAGGGGCGTTACAAATTTTAGAATTGATAACTTTACAATAGCTACACTAAACTACCTATATGTAACAATCCCAACCCCGAGAGAGTCGTCCCGCCTAATTTTTCCCACGGATGATTAGACATAACCAGTTCCATAATTCAAATGAGAAAAAATAAAAATAAATTTATCTAGATTGTAAAAAGATGAAAAAAAGGAAAAAAAAATCTATAAATTGTTCATTTGCTACTAGAAAATCTATACTATAATTAAATTCAGATAAAAATGAAGTCCATCCACTCGCATGTAAATAATTAGAGGACACCAATACCATCCATTAGAGTACAAAGGGCGTTGAACGAGCGGTACAGGATGAAGGAGATTGTGAAGAAGCAGTCGGGGCCGATTTTGTAGACGAAAATTTCCTCGTATATTTGTAAAAAAATTCATGTTCTTTAATTCCTCAGGTAAAAATAGGTAATTGAGGCTTTAGATGAATATTTGATGATAAGATCGTGTAAAATTAATTGGTGACCGTTGAAGTGTATTGTTTAAAAAGGAAGATGTACAGCAAAATCCAAATGGAAATTGGCGTCCTCTGTAGAACGATAGACCGGGCATTAAATTGGGTTGGAGGGAAATATGTCAGCATAGTGTCTCTGTAAAATAACTCCACATGGTAAAAATTTGGTCAAAATTTTTAAGTTTGAAAAGCATCACGCGATGTCTTGATATCTCCACAAATTTCATTTTTTGGATTATCCTTAAGCCAAGTGACCAATTAATGTCATTGACGTTGAAGTTTGAAAATAATTTGCCGAAGTGGATTGTTGTTTAAAAAGTCACTATATATAATAGAGTCGCTCATGTTGTAAGTGAATTTTCGCAAGTCACGATCAATGGGGCCAATTGAAGACCATATCAGGGTCATTAAAGAATTAATTTTGTGGAAAGTAGATGTTACATTTTGCGAATAAGTAAAACAGTTACATCACAGTCGTTTGGGTACATTAATAATGCAGTGAGAATAGCATAAGTTTTGGCTTTTATTGATGACGAGTTCTCAGCCCAAGCGAAACCCATGGTGGTGTTCCTTAAATAATTTGTCTTCATGCGGTAGGAGCCATCTGTATAAAATATAAAATAAAAATGAGAAACAAAAGAATAAGCTAATTGTAATAAAAGATCAATATTATCCAAATTTCCTAATAAAAATTTTGGTATATAAAAGGTGATGATGGGTCAATGTTTAGATTTTTTAAAGGGCGAACGGTTGTATTTGAAGTAGGTATAGGGGTAGGAATAACATCTAACTGTTGTTATATATCCCTATAAAAAATATGTATACGGAAAGGATACGTTTTGTATACATTTTATGTACGTTTCTATAGATTCCGTATACAAATTCCGTATATTTAATAAGTAATTCATTTTTGAACATTTTTTTAAAAAACTAATGTATAAGAAATGTATACGGAAAAAATTAATCATGCGGAATGTATACGGAATTTTTAAACTTAATATTTTTAGAAGATAATTTTACAAAAATTCCGTATCATAACACGAGATCACATGATTGTTTATTGTTTTGTTATGATACGTTTTTTGTTTTTT